ATCACTTGAAGCATTAAGGCGCTGTTAAGTCGTACCCATAGTAGAGTAATCACATGTGTCCCCAAGTTGAAAATTCCCTCTTTAGCAGATTAATTTTATTACAGAGTGAACATGAGCGACTCATATAGCCATGCAAATTGTAAATCATTGTATGGAAGCTTGCCAAATAAATGTAAGTGCAATTATCTGCCCGTATCTGTGATCCTATCTTATTATTACTAAAGGTAATGACTGATTGGTTATGACAAAGTATAACCAATAACTTAGATGGATGTTGGAAATTAATGGAACTCATTAAATCATCATTTAAACTCTTATTATTATTATTATTATTATTATTATTATTATTATTATTATTACGAACTAGCTGGCACACCTGCTGTGGCTGGTGGGCGTAACCCTTTCATGGTGCAAGGCAAACTGATCTCTATAGATCCGTATATAAGTGGGAGGGGAGGGGGGAATAGAGCCAACCCCGGATTTTGTACAAGGGGAAAAGGAAAACTCGCAGTTTATCAATTACTTTGATCACACTTGTTATTATTGTTCACTTGTATCTGTATTCTTGTGACTGGCTACTGTGTCAATATCAAATTTCAATTTCAAAAGAACTATTCAGGCTGGCAACATGTGAGGCGGATGTGTTTGTTTATGCGTGGGACGCGGCACTGCAAGGAACAGTCGCCTTTATAAGCTCTTGCCACATGGGCGAGAGTAACCACATCTCGGTGGTGTGACTCAGAATACCAGAAAATACACTCGCAAATATTTAATGAGCAGACTAGTTGTTGTTCTTTACTGTAGTGTAACCTGATATATGAGAGTCTAATGTTGATATCTCTCGTCTTCTGTCAGCAGTAAGTTTGTATAAGGAATTTGAATAATGATACACAGTAAAGAGAGACAAAGTAGGTTATTATTTTACCACATACGCACCTCATGACTTACGTGTCTTCACAGGTACGTAATATTAAAACCAGGATGCCAGACCCAGCACCTTTACTACAGAATGAACCTCACTTGCAAGCGCTAAAGCAGTAGTAATAATTAAAGGTTCCGCATATCCAACTCCCTGTCTAACCTCTGTTTGGATACTTGTAAACGTTCAAATGGCAGTGTGATGACGCATCCTTTGTTCCCCAATTTTCAAGGAAATTTGCCTGAGGGACTGTTTTCAGAAGATGACAGCTGATCCTAATGTAATTAAATATTCGTTTCGCTTCCCTCCTTTTCTGCTGTTCTGATTTGGTCGATGGTGGTCCAGAATACCCATCAAACACCACGGTCATCTTTGGTCCCAAGTGGATCTGCACATATTGCGCATAGAAATCACATAGCCTACTTGTGTTTAGGTTGCTGGACGTGGCCATAAAACGTATGAAGAAGTGTGTGTGTGTGTGTGTGTGTGTGTGTGTGTGTGTGTGTGTGTGGTAAAGAAATTCAAGTAAAGTCAACACACAAAGTCCCGTTGCAACAATCTTTGACTCACTCATCAGTCATCAACCTTGATGTTGCCACGTTCAAATATATATTTGTTTTCTGGTTTTCTCATGTGCTCATGGTATTAGCTGTTAAAGTATAATAAGCTTGTAAAATCATCTACTGATATCCAACATTGACAACAAGCACCAGTTTAATTCTAAGAAGATGCTAATGTGTAAGGCTAAGAAAAAGTGCCCCACCACACCTACTTCATAACACTTCTTTCCTACAAATTGGGTCATGCAACAGTCGTATCCTGGTTTATAGGAGAAAAAATCATAATACTGTACGAATAACAATAACGAGCGAAAAACAAAACTGCATTAAGCAACGGAATCCTCAGAGAACACGACCAAAGCATATCAATAACTAGTGGAAAGAAACGTAATGTTCAATAACACTAGAGGAGAGGAGGAGACAATGTTTCACCATCCTAAGCCAACTCGGGAAAATACCCGACGCTGACGTAACTGACACCCGGTAAACTAGCCAGGCTTACGTCACACTTATATAAACAGTGCACAACAACCGCCTGTCACGTTCTCAGCATTGATGATGTATTAGTTTAGAATAATGTCTCAAATTTTGTCGTTCCTTACCTGTGAGGAAACATATGACCATGTTCTACAAACCTTAAGGTTAAGTTTGAAGCAAGTCATACTACAGCACTCTTCTCTTAATGGCCGCTGGTCCTCTCCTGGGACACTCACAGTCACCTACCAGTAAACGGTGAATCTAAATTTGCAGTACAATGGTTGCTGTGCTACCTCCTTGTATACCAAAGGTGTGTGTGTGTGTGTGTGTCGAGCCTGTGTCCGCGAGGCACTCAGTTACCGCGTGTTGCCACGAGGAGGCACAGCAGGAATCTTGATCAAGGGCGAATCCAGGGGGTCCGGACCTTCCTATCAGCAGAAAATTCCAATACTTTTTCTTTAATGTCGTATTGTACTCAGGCGTTTTTGTATAGTAAAATGTAATTACTATTGACCTCAGAATATCTCCTAATCTCAAGTACACATGACTTCAAAATGGTCTCAAGATGCCCATGATATTGGTCAGATTTCAAAAACAATTTAGGGGGTTACAACAACTGGGTGGACTCGCTTTGCCACGCTCAAAACTTCTTGGACTTCCCCCTTTGATATTCCTGGATCAGCCCCTGTTGATGGTGAAGAGGCTGCGTACTAGCAGGGGACGACTTGTGCAAGGCTGCTTCCCTGTTCACCAAATAAGCAAGCCAGCTGCGGTAGCTGAAAGCGAGAGGAAGCAAGCAGTGTGACGCTGCCTGCACCTCAATACTAACACAATGCTGCCACACTAGATGCATTACACCACCCTGTGCACACACACACACACACACACACATACACACATGTGAGCGAGAGAGAGTAGTTATACTATTAAAGCAAACGACCGAGGTGGGGATTTCTTGAGGTGGTGTGGAGAGACAGCTGTGGAGGAGAGTGACGTAATCATCGGAGTGAGGAAGGTGGGGGATCCCTGGGAATAGAAAACTTCACCACAACACTCATCGGTTTTCCCCTCCCACACACATCAGACGCTACAGTTGTTTGTAAATACGTTTACTTCAATGTGCCTAATGTTAAACAGTACCCAGTGCTAACCTATTAAGTAAAAAAGAGTTTATTATCTACTTTATGAATTAGATAAATCCAAATTACCCGGGATCATGGCGACATTCGAGTGTACTAGACTGATCGGGCTTGGTCCGGCTATCTCCTTCAACAGACACAGCAACAAGTAATGGACTTCTCGTTGGATTCTAGAATGATTCTGGGTCTCAAATAAATCGCGTCACCTACTAACACATCTTCCTTCCTAACGGCGATAAGCTACACGCCCTGAATAAAGACATCGCTTATAATAAAGATGACGAAGCACACAACTGTCTCCCACTACAACACACTTATAATCACAATCACAACACACCTACCACCACAACACACCTACCACCACAACACACCTACCACCACAACACACCTACCACCACAACACACCTACCACCACAACACAACTACCACCACAACACACCTACCACCACAACACAACTACCACCACAACACAACTACCACCACAACACACCTACCACCACAACACAACTACCACCACAACACAACTACCCACCACAACACAACTACCACCACAACACAACTACCACCACAACACACCTACCACCACAACACAACTACCACCACAACACACCTACCACCACAACACACCTACCACCACAACACAACTACCACCACAACACACCTACCACCACAACACAACTACCACCACAACACACCTACCACCACAACACACCTACCACCACAACACAACTACCACCACAACACACCTACCACCACAACACAACTACCACCACAACACAACTACCACCACAACACAACTACCACCACAACACACCTACCACCACAACACAACTACCACCACAACACAACTACCACCATAACACAACTACCACCACAACACACCTACCACCACAACACAACTACCACCACAACACACCTACCACCACAACACAACTACCACCACAACACACCTACCACCAACACACCTACCACCACAACACACCTACCACCACAACACACCTACCACCACAACACACCTACCACCACAACACACCTACCACCATCACACACCTACCACCACAACACACCTACCACCACAACACACCTACCACCATCACACACCTACCATAAAACATCTATCATTACGACACACTTACCACCATCTTACACATGTCAATACCTACATACCTGACATTCACTTCGTGTACACACTTGGTTAAACTGGTCCCGGGTGACATATAACTTCGGTCAATAGCCCTGACACACTTTTCCCAATCAGCCTTTATAGTGTGTGAGTTCAACCTGAATCTGATGGTATTATTTCATTCTGTACAGCTTCGATCGTTTACTTGTCTTAACTTTAAAACATCATAATGTAGAATGAAACTGACACGGTATTAATTTACCACCATCACACCAGTTTCTCCACTCTAACATACTACTACACATGTAATTAAATTAGTAGTGATTAAACACTTATTTAGCCAGGCATACACATTATGCACGTTTTGGCCTTAGGCCTTCCCAACAAGACTAAAATAATTAAACTCTTACTAAGAAGTTCACGATTATTATTATTATTATTATTATTATTATTATTATTAGCATACGCTCGGTTAACATTGACGTCACTGTACAGTTTAAGCTAGGGTAAAGCAGGAAGACTCTGGCAATGGCACTGAAGGTCAAACAGTTGCCATTTATATCTATATAGCACTGTACCATAATCGTATCTCATTATTTTTTAATTCTGCTTTTATAATACAACTATAAATCTTTCACTTTCCTACAATGATCACATAACGACGAATAATATCTGCCATATAACACAACAAATGCCTAGAAAAGCGGCAGAAGTTGCAAAATATAGCATCACGACACGCCACTGGCTGTTCGTATGAAACACCCACCCTGGCTAGTCCTGGAGCCTACGACTTCTGCCTCAGTGAACGTTGAACTGCACTTCGTTAAGGTTAGCAGCTGCAAACATTAACAGTGAGCTGCAAACTGTGAGAATCTGTGAGTGTTAGGTGGATCAGTCTACACTCAATTATCTAGTGCATTCTACAGTTATGGTGAAAAGGGTGTGTAAAGACATTGTATCGTGCAGCAATGCTGTTTTTAGTGATATACTGTATAATTATATTGTTAGCCAAGTGATTCTAGGGTCCTGACGTTACGAATGACTTGTCTGAAACGCAATGATTTACCAGTTTTAACTACCTAACTATGAGTAGCCACTATGAGGTTACGAGATCATTTGCCTGTGTAGTGTTCTCCTCAGTGAACGGAAATCAAGTCACAGGAAAGAGTCACAATTTTGGCTTGGAAAAAAAAGTCACCTTTTATTTAAATACCATAAACAATTAAAGTAATAAAACAAAATATATTTTAAAACACTTATTAACTGACAATACATGACTTTTACATATTGATAACATAATTTATATATGATGGCATTACGTATGCTTGTGAGGCTGGCCTATCTCTGGATTTCCTCTCTGTAGGTTTGTCGTCATACTGCCCCGACATGACCTGGATCTTTTAACACACTTCCACTACAACTTGGTTTTGCGAGTGACATGTTTGGTATACATACAGTATACCCACTGTAGCGTAAAAAGTATTTTTCAGTAAACACTAACAGAATATACTGTACAGAGGGACAAGATTATATATATGTATATAGGTTAGGTTAGGTCACTGTGACCACAGGTTGTCTAATCCGGTATTTTTTTGGGACCAGGTGTTTGGTTTGAGGTCACGTTGAGGTGACCTATATACATATATGTTGGTGTGTCTGGATTGTGACTTTTTCTCCTGTGACTTTTTTTTTCCTGGATTCTCCTCCCCATAGTATTGCCCAGAGTTATTTTGAAGTCCAGTATTGTTCTCGCTTGCACAGCCCGAGCTGATACACGTTCCAAGGGTCTTCAATCTCTTTGTGAAAACAAAATATATACAGTATACAGTCCTTCATATTCATCCTGCATGACTCCTGTAACTCCTTACTCGTATTGATAAATTCTACAACAAAACATTGAAGTAAGGTCATTCTGTCTAACATAGGCATTGTCTTTTGTATTTGTTTTATTAAAATTTTGATTAAGCTTTATTTTCGCTCGAATTAGATAATTTAAAATTCAAAAATTTCTGGAATTCCAGAGTTTTTACATTGCGTATAGAAATAATCTTTTTGACATATACATACCGGTATAAAATCAATTCACATCCTCAAAAAACAAAATTGCTCTGCTGTAGACTATCTCTTGGTAGGCTATACAAGATCTCCAGTTCGTGGCTTCGTTGCTCTCAAACCTAGTGATCATCCTAAGCATAGTCAATGTGCATAGTTTGTCTTCCTGTCCCACGAACATTGTTATTGGGTAACATAATGCAATTTATTTTAAAAGTGTATAAATGTTTCCATAATATGAGAATTAAGGTTGTATAAACGTTTCCATTATAAGGGGACAGAGACATCTTTATTATTTTACAATACATAAACTTTTGACCCTAAACCAAAGTCACAAGGATATTTGCCTTGACTGAACCACATTTCCAAGTCATTAGTAAAGATACTTGTACAGTTAGTGTTTTTGTATGGTTGTCACGTTAACTAATTATAAAATGAGCTTCAATGCAGCAGCACCCTTGAAAGTTATCATGCAAGCAAAGTACACACGGCTAAAGCAAAGTACACACGGCTAAAGCAAAGTACACACGGCTAAAGCAAAGTACACACGGCTAAAGCAAAGTACACACGGCTAAAGCAAAGTACACACGGCTAAAGCAAAGTACACACGGCTAAAGCAAAGTACACACGGCTAAAGCAAAGTACACACGGCTAAAGCAAAGTACAACGGCTAAAGCAAAGTACACACGGCTAAAGCAAAGGTTCCAGGGATTAGAGACTTGAAAGATTCTATTATTATTACTTCTATCATCAGTGTTTGTTAAAGATTCAGATTTGCCCCCGAGGGGGCTAGTTTATTGGGCACCCCCTTAAATCCTGTGCAAGGTGAAGCGCAGAAGCGTTTACAGCGCCCATCTGGGAAGTATGCAAAGTTCATACTTGCCTTTATGACTCGGACATTAAGGGCGTAAAAGCCTGAAGGGTCATAGGTTTTGTCAAGTTACATAAAGTGAGAGAATGATGAGTGTGTGGGGGTAAAGTTCCCGGTACATTTCATCTGTTTATAGCAAACCGTGGCAGGTCCCTAATAATGTCAAGTGCCAGGTCTGTCACTAGGAGGAGGGATATCTGGTCAGGGAGGGAAGAGGCGTTGGTAACAGCTGGGGACCTGTAGGAGGAGGTCATAGGGCAAGTGAGGATGTAGTGAGAGAGGGTGTGAGAGTCGGGTTGGCCACCAAATCTACAAACATTGCGGCCAGGCTCAGGGTTGCCAATGTACTCCCATAGGTACCTGTACCCTAGGCGCAGTCTCATGTATATAATCTGTTGAGATCGAGTCAGGGATTGATACTGTTTGTAGTGGCGGTTGTCGTCACCGGTTACAGCGTCATAGTGGCATAGTGTGATGCTACCCGGTTGTTTCAGGTGTGTCCAATTTTCGTCGAATGCCTCTCGTTGTGTGGCGTGTATGCGAGATTTGAGATGATTAGTGCTTGTTAAAAAGACATTCTTTTTCCCTACAGTTTACCCTCAGTCTTATTTTTTCTATTTACTCCAATACAGAGTATGGTACACATACAAAGAGGATGCAGCTTTGGTGCCTTGGTAGTGCTGTTGCTGCTGCCGCTGTTCCAGATGGCTCACACCCAGAGTAAGTTATTCTAATGTTATATGCTACTGCATCTCAATGACGAAGGTCTTTAGGGGCGTAACAAGGTTAGCAATTCACTAGTCTAAAAACAGATTTAAGAGAGAATCCTCTGTCAAAGAGTAACTATCTTACTTCACTGACTATAATACTTACTGAACTTTAAGTAAGTGATTACTTAATTTCACCATAAGTAACTATTTTCCATCAACTTAAGTAACATTTACATCACTAAATAATTACTTAAGTAATTCATATTTCACCAAGATCGGCACCT